TAACGTATGTTCGTGTTTTTTTTTAAACAAGTAAGTTTTTTGTTGTTTGCCTGATGAATTGTCAGAAGAGAATAATTTTCAATTAATGAAACTAAACTGTTTTCAGTGAAACCGAAACATTAAAAACGTTGTGTTTTCTTCTCATTATTCACAAAAATATTTGCATTCCCACATTGTGAGTTAAGTTTGAAACAATAATAAACTGTACATAGCTAAAGTAAAAGTCAATAAAAGGACACATTGATCAAGTAGCATCTATCACAAATATTAATTCCACTTTACTAATGGCTCGAAAAAATGGCTAATGCGGCGGAACGCACAGATTTGTTTTCACAACTTTATAGTCTTTCAAATTAACTTATTTACACGTCTCGATCTTCGTGGAAATTAAGTTTCCTTTTTTCTTTAAATATATAAATATTCCCTATTCATATAAATTAATCGTAATTAATTATCAGGTTGCCGATTTTTGTATTTTTATAACTATAATTAAAGAATTCGCTTCATTTAGTAAATACTCTACTTTTGATATTTTATATATTTATGTATATTCTCTGCAGTTTTGCATCTTCATTTTTTTTCAAAAATCTACGTCTGATTTTAAATCGAGCATCGTGCTCTATTAAATGCCTGCCTCGAGATAAACATATCATTAGAGATAATTTACCTCTTGATATCGTATATTCTTTTCAACTTATGTCTGTCGCGTTGCACAACGAACTTGTGAAACGAGGAGTTCTCGAACTGAAAACACCGATGCCTCGCAATCCGCAGTAATTACGTAATAATTTCGCGTGAGATCACGAGGCATCTGTTGGATTTTTCCCGCTTCTTATCGCGAATGATAAAAATAGCACGAAATGACTCTTTTCGTACAGTGTCTTTCGTACATTCGTTACATCTGGTGAATTTAAAAGTTGCGATGTAAGGGGAAGAAATTCGAAAAACCGAGTCAAAAATTTGCAACTGGAACGTTGTTTGCTCGACCGAAGAGTGTCGAGAATGAAATCGAAAACGTTCCCAATCGTCGATGCGTGAAACGCGGAAATACAAATGTAAATTAAGAATTGAAAATATAACGAATCGAAGAGAGCAACATCTCTCAACGATCTATGTACAGACTCAAACGCGTCGCGTCTTAGCCTCCACCGCTAAAAGATTCGAATACGTAGCTGGCCCGCAGGGAGCGCAGAGAAGCATAACCGCAGTCTCGAAAGCAATAAACCATAAAGCTATTAATGTTACGCCCTGGGATGGTTATGCCACGGTTTATAACGTATACGAACCACTTATATATCTTCGGGCCGGTATTCTATCTGCCGTCCGACGTCGGTCTTCTTTTCGCTCTCTTCAATTCCGTGCCGCGCGAGGATCGAGTCCCGCGCAAGGTCATACCGGTCGTAACTCCATCTTGATCGAGGGTGACGAAGCGGTTCGTCGTTCTTTTCGTCCGTCTTCGCCATAATTTCCCCGTGTTACGTTCGAGATCACGTTTTGCAACACGCCACAAAGGATGAAAGAGCGAAGAGCGAATTTACAAGGGAGAAACAGTTTGGCGATTTTTTTTTTTTTTTTTTCTCTAGATTACATATGCTTGAGATCTGAGATTGCGTGTCCAAGCAGCAGAAGAGTAAACTAAATCAAAAAATGATGAAGATTGATCGGACGAGATATTTAGTCAAGGTCGAAAAACGGAAGAGAAAAAAAAACCATTATTGTAATGAGCAGAAGCGTTGTTGAATTTGCAAAAAAAGAAAACTCTCAGCCCGCGTTTACCATAATTTTCTGCGCTACCTTCAGGATCTGGTTTCGTATCGCGTGTTGAAGAAATAAAGAAGCAAAAGGAGATTTAGCAAATGAGATTTATCGGTGCAATTTCTGGCGAAGGTCGCGAAGAGATATTCCTTTGCAAGAGATCTTCCTTACGATCTTCCTCATTCCCCTCGAGTAATATTTTGTTATATGTTATTATGTTATACTATAATATATTATGTTATATTACATTATACATTATAACATTGTGATACGTTTCTTCGAAAAATGATATTCAAAAATACAGCGCGATAATGAAGCTACCAGTTGCATAAATATGATATACCACACAGAGTCTGAGCATTTTGTCCTCTTTTTTTTTCACGGTGAGACCATCACGTTTTTTGCGAAGAGATCCAATCATGCTCACGACGAACGGCGGATAACACGCAAACCGGAAACTCGTATCGATGATTAATTGCTTTTCGCTTAAGCAAACTTGTTTTTGTCATTGGCGAAGACAGCCAAACGATTCTTTCGTTCTTGTTGCAATTTCATTTTAATCGCCTATACGACGTTCGCATAAAATTCCAACGAGCTTCTTTTTTCGGCTAACAATTAATAAGTCGAATAATTAATATCGCGAACCACGCATCGGATTCGTGTGGTAACGTTAACGTGTTCATTTTCTGGTCCGGTTATTCAATTTTATTGAATCTCTCGCCTTGATGCTTCGTTTTAGCACGGCGTGGGTAATAAATCGTGAACGTGCGTTTCGATTACAGGTCGGATTCGCAATTTACATGAAAATAACTTCCCTTAAACGCTGTCCGATATAATTTATTTAACGTCGCGTCGAGAGGCTTAAAATTATCGTGAAAATCTACATCGGGATCGGCGAGTTTTTAATGAGCCTTATCGATCGCGAACCTTGTAAGAAAGCAGAATACGCCTTTAATGTTCATTTAGAGAACACGGAGAAACCATAATAAATCTATCAGAAATGAAACACGAATTTTTTTTCACTATTTGCCGTGTTTGTTGAAACGTGTCAGAAAAATATATCATACTATATCACGGCGATCTTTTACAAATACGATTCAAGCAACATTTTATTATAATGCTACAACAAGTATTTTACTTTTAACGTTTTTATACAATGTTGCATTCTCTGCATTTTAAAATTTCACTGCATTAGTGCGCAGAGATCGTCACACAAACCTCGTCTTTCGTACAAACGAATCCAACGTATAAAGAAACGCAGCCAACGTGCACATTGATTCTCGCCAGGCGTAACTGAGACCGGAATAAAGCGACCACGAGGCGAGATACTGTTCATCCAACCCCTGTTGCGGGCTGGATGTCAGGAGTCAGCGATTGTAACGCTTACTCTCGCAGGGCGGAGGATGGCAAACTCGTGTTTACACGGTGACTTTTATTAGAGAATCAGTGTCTCGGTGTTTGGCGCGGTACGACGAGTTTCACCTTCGAGGTGGAAGGAGCCCATTGTTCCACGGGCGTTCGGCCTCTCGCCCCGGACGGCTGTTCCTAAATTATTGTTTCCCCTTCGAGCTTCCAGTCCGGTCGGCTGTCTCCCATCCTTTCTCCTCCTTCTCTCTTTCCTCATCGCTGATCTTTTTCCTCTACGGATGGGATCAAGTCCAACGTGCACTTACGTACTCGCGAATATCCGAAGTCAAGTTCCGTCTCGAACAATACACGATTGCCAAACAATAATTGTTTCAGTGATTAAATGCTCGGTTTACACGAATTAATATGTAGATTTTATACGTATGAATATTTTGTGATATTTTGTATTGAATTGAATTAAATATTCATATATTAAAATTATGTAATAAATTAAATATTTTATACGAATTAATATATTTCTGTAATTTTAATCGCATGCTTCTGTTTCTTTTTTTTTTTTTATGCGCATCCTTGAACTAGACGATGTCTTCCGTTATGGTCTAGTCTTTCCAGTATTTCGTTTCGCGCTCTTCCGACAATTTTCGAACATACGTTTCATCAGATCAAGAACTCCGAAGCGTGTGTCAAGAGCCTGTTTTTCAATATTACCGAAGACACTTTCTAAAAACGTTGGAACGATCAGCGTTGCCAGGCAAATGTGATTGACTAGGACGAATCAAGCTCGCGGGCGGCCAAGCAAGAGAATCTCGAAAGTTTTTATCAAGTGACCGTCGAGGTAGAATCTCCGTCGTTGAACAAAATAGTTAATCAAGTGAAATTTACCACAGCACGATTAGACAACACTAGTATACAAGCTCGCTGCCATTAAAAGTTAAATCTCATTTCCAGCAAGTCAAACTCGATCGAATACAATACGAATAGCGCAGTCACGAGCCTTCCTTGTTAGATGTCAGATTCAAAGTCAAAAGCACACGTTCGTATGAAGTCCCGTTTCCAGCCGATTTTGAACCTACCTGCGAGCTGCTCGATCCCACCTCTACTCTCCTCACGAGCAACTCTCTCCTCGATGGTTATTTCGCGCGTTTACGATACCGGGCCTTTATTCGACGAAGAGCAGAAACGAGCGAAGCGCCGCGCCGCGGCGACGAGGCCCAGGAATCGTCGGCGGCGAAGAATCGAGAAGAAGAAGAGGAAGAAGGCCGCACGACGCGCTATCGATGTTTACGAGGCGAAATAAACGGCGGCGGCGGCGCCGCCATCGGCGTGCGGTTAGGTTATTTCGTATTACTTTGGCCCTTTAATGGCGTCCTAAAGTGGCGCATAAAAATCGACGTTCGCCTTCTCCTCGTAGAAGGTGGTCGCCTGGGGGGGAAGGGGGCGAACGCCGCAACCTCTGCGCCCAGCAGAACAAGAAGCCTCGTTCGCCACGGGATTTCGGTTTCGCGGCCATCGTCGCTTCGTTTCCTTCGAGTCTGTTTCCCCCTCGCCTTCCTGTGGTTGTCCTCCCGACGCTGTCCGTGCACGAGCCCGATGACGGTGGCTGCTCGAGCTTTTTGCCGGCAGCTTCCACTCATTGGCAAGTCCACGTGACGATGGCTTTCTTCGCCGGTGATCCTCGATGATCCTCGCGATCGTCCACGGTGATCCAGCGATGATACATTATGCATCGTCGCGAGACTCGGTGGCTCGTGATACGCGTGATCCGATGGCCGATCGACTCTGCGGAGAAGCCGCGGGGAGATCGACGTAAATGAGGAATCGGATCGGAGATGCTGTTGCTTGGTTGCGTGTGGTGCGACGAATGTACTGGTTACGAGTTTTTCTTTTTTTTTTTTTTTTTTCTTTTTTTTTTTTTGTTCTTTTCTTTTCGTTTTCAACTGGCCAGTGTAAAACTCTACTTGTGGCACAAAGAAATTTTCGACGATCAATCTCGCGCGATTTCAAACACGTCGTGTAAATAGAGCTTCGATTGCAAATAAATGTCACGATATATATTTATGTGTATATATATGTATATAGAATACCACTAAAAGTTCGCTTGAGCGTACGCCCAACATACAGACCAAAACTTTCATATCAATTTTCACCAAGCACTTTAACCGCTTTACGAATAAACTGCAAATACAACAAAAGAGTGGAGTATCAAACGAGGCACACAACCAAATCGCGGATCGTCTCATTATCTTGTACACTTTAGATTCTCACCGGGTTTAAGATGAAGGGAAAAAGTAGAACTCGGGAAAGCATCAGTTTTCAAGATATTGACACACAAACATGTGTATATGTACATATCTATACAACCCTTAACTATTCCTTTTTAGTCAGTTATGTTAAGGAAATACATACTATCTAATATTGCTATGCGATTTCTTTATTTATAAGGATGTTCGACAGTTTGAATATAAATTGTAAAAATCTTCTTTAGAATGTAAATCTCATTCGTGCGAGATAATTAGAAGGCGGGCAACGTAAAGCATTAGGAGTATGTACACATTTGTTATTTTCATACTTAACCAAAGTAGAAAATGCAAAGAAACATTACTCGACGGAAGGAAAATGTAACGATTTCATTGACTACGAATTGAATCTGGTCGTTTTTTTGCAGTACGTAGAATTATAAATAATACTATATCCTCTACAGCCTCGTTATACGCGATGTTAATTTCCTTAAGGTCATATACTGATTCAAAGTACTGCAGAATCGTGATGGTTTAGTTGTGTGCTCGTTCACATTGTTGAATTGCGTTCATCAATGAATGAAATCGAATAAATACAAAAAAAAAAAAAAAAGGTAACAGCAAAATTCGCTTTACCCCCAGAAACATCGCTTTTCTCACTTTTAGATTCGTTTTACTGCTTTTACTTTTCAACAAATGTATATATCCGAACAAACTTACTTATGAATTGCACAATGAATGAAAGAATTGAATGAATTAAAATACAATAAGATAGAATGGAACGAATGAAAGCTCACAATGATAAAAAAAAAAAAAAAAAAAAAAAAAAAAAAAAAAAAAAAAACAAAAAAAAACACTTAGAAAAATTGTCAATATAACTATCTAAGTTGCTAACCATCGTGTTTCCCTCTGTTGGAAGAAAGGAAGCACGGATTGCGCAAACGCATTTTCACAGAATGTTTACACTTGTTTCGTACGTACGTACAACAATGTGTACTCACAAAAAGAGAACTAAGATTAATGTTATTTGGAATTAATTATCCTTAGATAATTCCAAAACATAAGAATCAATTCCAGATAAAAATGATTATATCTCACATTCACAAATGCGATTGGCGATCTAATCACTAATTACTGAAAAATCTATGCATACAGAATCAAACACTTCACTGTTTGCGCGGCAGCCTTTTTTTTCAGCCATCAAAAAGGAATTACGCGTTAGATTAATTCAGTATCTTAAGTTACCACCTAGTTAATGTTGTGTTTTGTGTATCAAATCATTATCATAACAATTATTTGTTGGGCACACACCGAATTAAAGTCTCTGCCGTAAGCACGCGTCAAACTTTCCTTTCTCCGTGATTCATGTTCATTAGCCATCCTCTTTTGGAGGGGTAAACCAACCTATAAAGAATATTTCAAGACATAGTACTATCTGAACGATGAATTCTATGTATGAACAATGAAACTCTACATTGAAAGAAATGGAAGAGCATACGCCAAAAACAAAAGATTCAGAGCTAACTAAATACAAAGATTTGCTTATTGAACGAAATTTCATAGAACTGGATTAAATCTCTAAAATTAAGGAAGCAAATAATAATAATGCCTATAAATATCTTTGTTATATTAATGACGAAAAAGAAATTTATATTTCTAAAATATTATCCTCTTCTTCATTGCTTAAATCATTATCAAAGAAACGATAATAAAAAACAAAATTATTATTTAAGCGATGCATAATTTTTATCAAACACTCTTTCTAATAAGAATAGCAACAAAAGTTCAACACTCGCGATATGAAATGAGAAGTAAAAATGAACGTCTTACCATTTTTTTCATGTATTTGTACAAGAGACTTGAATGACTGTTGTGCACGTGCTAGACTGTATTGACCTTGTCCACACACTTTGCTAGCACTACCTGGTCCTTGAAATTGTATGCGTGCTTTACCCTTCACTAGCGTTGCTGAAATCTGCATGATGACTGCTTCCACTGTGTAGGCTGAACTCCAACCTTGTTTCGTCAAAAGTTCCATACAAATCGCGCCTCCTATAAGGACGTAACCACCAGAGATCATGGGATGCACAACTCTGACAAATGGAGGTTCGAATGGGTAAGTTTCCTGCAATCATAAGAACAAAGAATGTTTTCTTTCTTTTTTTTTTTTTTTTTTTTTTAC